CCTCTTGTTAGAACTTCACCAAACCCCCCCCCGTACCCACCCCAATGGACCTCATGGAAATAAATGGATTAGTCCATCAAATTGCTCAGCAAAATTTAGCTGTGTATACCAAATTTCATTCATTTATCACAACGCGATTGAGAGATTTTGCAAAAAAATGATTTCCATTCTTCCCTCTTCAATGGGTCCCTGTGCCCTTAGGAAGCATTTCCGGACCCATGTTCATATGAACTTTTTTACTTAGTTTTGATCATAGAATCGGCTTGTTCAGGGTTGGCAGCTAATTATGAGACACCCTGTATACAAGTATTGGACAATAGGAATTTTCACCGATATTTCGAATTCAACCGTCGAAGCCGTTAACAAAGCCGAAAAAGGCAGAGTAATCGACGTTCAAAGATACTGAAAACAGACTGAAATCCTCGAAAACCGCTGTACAACAATCAAACAGCTCTGCCTGTTGAATTAAGATTACAGGAAGGGTAGAATTCGGGTGATGTAAATAGCACTCGAAATTCGAACATCCACGTTAGGAATTTGGCGAAGTCGTCAGTAGCCGTTGATCGAACGTCAACTTTGGTCGACTGCTCACAGTTTATTAACTGGGAAAAGTTGTTAACCAGTACACAAAGCACGATTCTCAAATTTCTTTACTTATTGCCTATCGCAATTAACCAAATTTATATACAATATTTTTTTTTTGATGAGGAATATCATCAAGAACGAAGATGTAGAGGTAGACGGAAATTATAAGCATCTGCTATAATTTATTTTTTAGAAATTAACAGCAATATTAAAAATTAAGTAATTAGATTTTTTTCGACAATCCATTCTCTTCAGTGATCGTAGTTTATTGACTCGGTTTTAAATCTTGTACCTGGGTAAGAAGCTGAAGTCGCATTTTCGTTTAGCGATAGTAGATTATTATTAGAATTGTCAGAGGTTAAGGAAGATCCTAGACTATAATACGGCGACTGTTCAGTATCTAAGTCATGTCTTCTTTCCTGATCCCTGATATCCGCCTGTAGCACAGCATTACTTAAAGTCAACTTAATTTTACTTTGTTCAAATCGAGGTAACTGTTTGGTCATCCTTGACATGCTCAAGAAAAACATATCGGTTTCGTCCATACCACAATAACAAACCGATTTCGACTGTGGCGATTCGTTCTTGTACTTAGAGTTTCTTAAAGCATCATTTTCGTTCACAATTTCTACAAATTTTTGTGGTGAATCTTTCGCTTCAGGTTTTGCGCGTTTATTTTTCTTTATGTTCTCTAACACATCCCCTGTATTTTGGTTATTAAAGTGCCCCTTTCCCAAAACGCATTCTTCAATTTGCAAGTCTGAATTAATATTATTAGTTGCACTACATTTTGTATCAGGCGGGTTATCGTTTTCTTCATCGTACTGTTCTTGGTTTACATCAGTAAAAGTGTTATACTGGAACATTTGAATATCAGGTTCTTCTGTATTGCCATGCGAACTGAAACGAATTTACGGTAAGAGTATTTTAACAAAATAAAATTGTCAAGGTGCGGTACTCACGGTCTACTTCCTAAAAATGGCACGATAAAGTTCATCTGCAGCTCTAACCTCCAAGGTAAAATTTTATTAGACACTTCGCCGGTGTCTTTGTTTCTTCTTCTATTTATAGCATTGCAGAAACACCTTCTCAGTTTATTCCATTTCTGCTTTGCGTCTTCAGCTGAAAAAGTTTATGATTTATCACGAACGTCAGTTTTTCGGTAATATTGCAAATGCAAGTAAACATTTCCAGATTCATTTAAAGCCGTTTGACCTTGAAAATTTGAAAATTTTCGCCAGCGGTTCTTTTTTTTTCATTTTAGTCAATCAATGAATACCGATGTTTCACCTATTCTCAATGTCACGAGCCGCCACTGCACCATACTGTATATTATATTATCTTGTCTTGTATGGCATATTATTATATTATAAAATATAAAATTAAATTAAAATAAATTAAACAATGTAGGTATTACAGTATAATATACAGGGTGTCCGGAAATACCGTTCGAATAATTCTAGGGGTGATTCTACATGTTAAACTATGAAGAAAAGTTCATATGAACATAGGTCCGCAAATGCGTCATAAGGTTGCTATGGCGATTCAAAGATTGCACCGGGATATAGGTTTTATTTTATATCTCTGGAACCGTTTCAGATAGCCATCTGAATTTTGGCATATGAATTGCCTTTAATAGTAGGTACTTTTCAGTGTTTTTACTAAATTATTATTTTAATCAGGGGCGTACCGACAGGGGAGGCCTCGATTTAATTTGTTCACATTTTTATTAAACGTCATATTTTTGCAGTTTTCTTTAGAAATTCTGATTCCGCGGTATAAATGACATAAAAAAGGTATTCTTGTAGAAAACCTGTCAGGTATTGTTAAATAGTGATAAAAAAGAAACGGTAAATGGAAAACAGATTTATAATTAAAAAAAAAACAGGGAACAATACAGAAACAAATAATACTAGTGACTTATTATTAAACCTGAATGTTACTTCTTTAGTTACAGCAAGTGTTGGAAGTGATGTCCATTCATTTCAATGCAACTGGCTAAACGATTTCTCATTGAACGTTTAACTCGTTGAAAAACACCTTGCATATTCCGTATTTCTTGGCAACAATGAATGACTCTTTGTTCCAGTTGTTGTACACTGTCAACAGGCACTGAATAAACTAAGTGTTTTAAATAACCCCATAGAAAATAGTCTAACGGATTAAGATCCGGCGAACGGGGAGGAACGGGTCCACCTCGTCCAATCCACCGATCTGGATAAGTCTGATTTAGATATTGTCGAACAAATAAACTGAAGTGGGCTAGAACCCCATCGTGCATAATGAAAATGTTTCTAATCTTAATCCATAAGGCAAATCTTAGAGTAAAACTGGTAAAGTGTTTTGTAGAAAATGTAAGTATGCGGGCCCATCTAAACGATGCGGCATAACATATGGTCCTAGTAACCTATTTCCTATAATACCTGCCCAAATATTAATGGAAAACTGATCTTGGAATCGAGCTTCGAAAATCGCGTGAGGATTTTCATCTGACCAAATATGATTGTTATGAAAATTTACCACTCCTTCACGCGTAAATCCTGCCTCGTCTGTAAACAAGACTTTATCGAGGAAATGACGGTCCTGATGGCATTTCATCTGCATCCACTGACAAAACTCCACTCTAGGCAAAAAATCCCGAGGTTTTAGCGCTTGAA